AAGGAAATAAACTGAGCAAAGTGTGAGTGCTCTTCCTCTGGTGCCCTCTTAAATAATTTAAATGTTTATGAAAGGCACTTAATTCTAAATTAAAGACACACTTAAGATCAATCTTTAACTGTGAGCGGCTTTATACACAGCCATGTAATTAATGAGAAGGGAGATGTCTTTACCTACTTAGTCCAGGTCATAGAGATGAGGGCTGGGTTTCCACTGGCATACTTGGACCTGAGAGATCTGCGCTTCCTGACACCTCCACAGCTCTGTCAGACAGAGGATGGTTAGATTTTAGGCTTCAGATGTGTGTTTAATATGCTGACGATACTTCTGTATTCATGCAGTACCTCTACTTGAGTATTTTTACATTGTCGTATTACTACTTTGTACTTGAGTATTTCCTCCCTGCTTACCCGAGCGCAGCCGTTCTGTTTGAGGCACAGCTCCAGTTGGCAGTGCAGGTAGATGGCGCCGGTTTTCCCAGAGAACTCGAACATGTTGAAAGAGAAGCCGTTGGACGTTCCCACTCCGTTTCCCTCCATCATCACCGTCTTGTCAGCGGCGTTCGGGCATCTGCTCAGAAACAGGAAACGGACATGATGACGTCAGCAGCAGTAGAGCCTCCGACAAAGTCACAGTTTTGTGTTTTTTTGTGTTTTTCTCACCCGTCTTTGACGAGGTCATATCGCAGGGTCCCGTTGGGTGACGAGTCGTTGGATGCCCAGCAGGAGTCGGTGACCACGGCGACTATGTTGTTGTCCAGGCCATCCGTCTTCAGCTCCACCCAGATCTTCTGGTTCAGCCCGACCTCAGTGTTTGCGTTGATGAGGTTCATGTGGCCGGAGTCGTTGTAGGCGTTCATCGTCACAGTGTAATTCCAAACTCCAGATACAATCTGCGTCACCACAGAGCTGAAGGGGACAGACACACACACTTCAGCTGTCTTCAACTACAACAAGCTTCAGTCAGCACACACACACACACACACACACACACACTTTGTAATACATAAAGTCATATATGTTCATTAGCAAAAGTTATATCTGTTTATCTCACTGATATTTTGACAGTCCAGTCAAAGTAATGTCTCGCTTTTCTCTTATGTATGCTTACAGGAAAACAGCAGTAAAAGCACCCTGCCTTGCTTCCATTAAAAGCAATCTGGTTGCCCTGTACGCTGATGTACATTTATTCGTAGTCTGCCCCACCAGCAGCGCAATGGCCCTCTGGAGCTTTACAGGCCGTGAGCCAAATTGTATGCACTTTATACATACAGAGGCTTGTGGTGTGTAACAGTGATCAGTTTCAGGGGAGAGATACTCTACCTGGGATGTGAATGAGTAACAACGGTAGAGATGACCATGCAAAGAGTTATGTGTACTCTTTCTTTCTTTTTATGTCTCACTGTGCTTGCATTATTCTTGATTTTTCCGCAATGTCCACGAGACAAATTGCACTCTATATTCTGTGTATATAGCAGAGCATGCATTATTCTTTCTAGAAGTTCTGGAGCAATTACTAATGCAGACAGCCTTACAGTAAACCTCCTGAGCGACTGTATATCATAAATTATTTTATTCATCATATCATGATGGTATTTTTGATTCGTGGTGCATCTATATATTAACATGCTCATTTATAATGCGTAGAATGAGTCAGGCTTTTATTCCACTTTATACTGCCTTCACCCCTGCTTAGGTCACATTTCCAGTTGTAGCAGATTGAATATACAGAGAGAACACATTGTGATCTTTACCTCTAAACAGATATTGATTTATTTTATTGTCATGGCCATGAGAGCAATATTTATTATGATATTCTTTAAATCTTTAACTGGGAATCCTTTCCAGATGTCTTTTTTTGAAATACTTCAATATGAAGATATTTTGTTGCACGTCAGTAAAGCACTCAGGGCTGAGCAGATCTTTTCCCCCAATGTCCCTGTTAGACCAACCCTGCTGATTTAGTAGATTTCATCTGATGCTTTGCTTTTAATTGACATTTCCCTGAAAGGACGGAGGAATGGTGGTACTGGGGGGGATGGCGGATGATGGTGGGAAAAGTGTGCCCTCAGCAGAAATGTGACTCCCTCTCTACATGGCCTAAAAGTCTGCTCATCTGTTTCATTTATTAATGTAGTTATTTATTAATGTATTTGTTTATTTATATATTTGTTTATTAATCAGGAACAACAAAGTAGATACGAGCAGAGGCGTCGTCTTGGCGGGCGTTCCCAGGTCACTTAACTCGATCCAGTATGACACTAATGACGAGGTGATCAGAGAGGACAACATTTGTGGATTTCCATTCATAAATTATGTAGAAGTCACTACAGATGACTGTTTAAAACAGGAATTACTATTAGCTCATATCTTTTTTGATAGTGGCTATAAAGTCTTGAGATGCATCTCTCATTACAGGATGTCTGGTGACCAAAATCAACAATGAATAGGATTGGTGATGGCGCTAGATAGGCGCTAAATTTAATGGAAAATTTATTGAATAGGGGATCACCAAAGTCAGTAGGATTGAGCCTCTGAGGACCATCAATGTCTCTTCTAAGTTCCATTCAATAGTTCTTGAGATATTTCAGTCTGCACCAAAGTAGTAGACTGACTGACGGACTAACATCATTCATAAAGCCACCTCGCTAGCACGGCTAATCGAAGTGAAACAATGTATTTGTGACACATTTCTAAAGATTTATGTTCTTCCAGGCAGAGAGGCTTTAAAGTATTCAGAGAAAGACCTCTGGTTTTGATCAGACTTTTGACAAGTAACAACAATAAAAATATAGAACATCCCTATTCCTTCAGTGCTACAAAATACCATGTATCATCATAAATCATCTTTGGTGTACGCTCAGTGTCACTTGTTCTTTAAACACAGCAGGACACCGACATTTACTTGATTGGAGGACTTTAACAAAGATGGTGTAAGTGGTATTTTGCAGCCATATGTGAGTTTGGCAGATGTTGTGATTTGAGGCCTGCCTGTGGCTTGTGGTCTGAATGAGACGAGGTTTGAGGGGTTTGTTACACAACACCCAGCAGAACTCTACATTGTGATTACGCAAACTGGCTGCATAAACAGATATGGTGAGCCATGTTGATAGTAACTCATTGCAGTGTGTTGGAATTACTATATGTAAGGGATAGTATTGTATTAAATGCGAAGTTGCTTTCATATCTTATTTCTAAGGGGATGTCGCGTCTGCATTTTGTAAAAGCCGAGCTGTCGATCCGGCTATCTGCGCTGTAACTTGTTTCCTGTCATAAAGCACAAGTCGATGAAAGAAACCACCTGAGATGCTGCCCCAACTAATCTCCTCCTTGTGGAAATACACAGTGCTTTGAGTTAATTGAGGGGAAAAAGACAGACAGTTTAGTCAGCACATTACTCAGTTGATGAACATCCAAAATGCATTGTTTGCAGAGAGTCATCTGGGTATGTTTTTTTTCATAAACTAACTGCTGTGGCTGAAGCACAAACTCTTCCCCGTGCATGCATCACTGGGCTGAGAAATATACAATAGTAATTTGGGGGTGTCTGTTTATTCAAACTTGGTGTCCGGTGTCTTTCTAGCTGTCTAAGATCTACTTTGTCTTTTCTATTTGTAGCGTCTGACCATCTGGAAAGTGCGGCTGGGCAGGCAGACGGAACGAAAACATTTGTTCATTCATCGACTCCTCGCACATGTGATGACAAAACTGTTTTTTTTTACGCAATGTGAGAAAAGAGACGACAGAACAGAGGTTTTTCATCATCATCTTTCTATGTGTTTATTTCACTTGGTTTTCAACGGGTAGTTAAGTAACGCTACAAAAAGTGGATATTGTTACAATAATCTTTTCTTAAAATTTAGTTTGTTTAGGTTGGATTTGTTCAAGTTTGCATTCCTTCTGCTACCACTTCAAGTAGCAGAAGATGCTGTATCTATTTAAACCGTTATCCATTACTGTTAACTAACAGTGTACTCATATGATTGTATTGTATTTCACAATCTTGTGACAGCAGAAAAGTCTTCCCTGAAAATGTGTTGGTTCTTACAGACAAATTATTGTCATCATTTTGTCAAGCGGGTGCCTGACAAAATCTCAGACATCTCTCTTATCCTTCCTTCCAGTTTCCCTCTATCATTTCTGATCTGAGGCTGTTACAACCGATTAGACTTGGAGGGTTTTAGTCTTGAGAGGAAATGGGACATCATTTCCTCTTCTGCTAAATGTTTGTTTTTGTGAGTTGCAAGTTTCTCTTCCTAGTTTTGACCTGCACTCACTTTCTCAAACAGCTTTTTAACGTGTGTACGCTTTACACACATTTAGCCTGGTGGGAGACTTGTTGATCGCATTACTAATTGAAGAGAAAGGGCACCATTGTGTGAGACCATGAGAACTGGTTTAGCGTCCGACAAGTGTTCTCTAACTTTGGGCTCTGACATCTAGACCAGCTGGAACAGCAGCTGCCACCTGGCTAATCCTGCCTTGCTGTTCGCTATTCACATGGCACAGAGGGCAGGCAGTGCTGGTGTTTGTTCTCACTTATGTCTCTCTCTCAGCTCTTATTTGTTTCAAACATTTTGGGGACGACCAACACAAACAGTATATTGTTAGGGATCCCTTAGGGTTCTCACTGCCTTGTCAGCCAGCTAGAATTTGAACAAATTATACAATATAACACTGAATAAAATGTGCTGATATCATGATTGAAAATGAGCCGTATTTTCTATCTTTATCTGAAATCACATTCCACCTCTCTGCTACCTTGTAGATCCTTTTAATCTTTCTGTCGACAGTTCCACTGAAACAACATCTAACAATAACTTTTTTCCACTGGTTAAGTGGGACACAGTGTGGCCGTTGCCACATAAGTGCCAACATTTTTCTTTTCCGCAGCACACCATTTCAAACATAAATGTTTTTACTTTGAAGTTAAAATCAATGCATCATCGTTAGTGAGGGGCATTTTTTAACAGGAAGGGGTACTTGCTATATGACAAATAGTTAGTTGTTGTAACCTGTTCCTAAGATTTGACCATGATGGAACTGTCACATCTTTTATTCAAGAGACATTTACATTGTGGATGTAATAGCTGTATGTGAGAATTGTACTATGAATGTGTGATAACAGTTTTGGCAATTGAAAGAGGTGCTGGACAAATACTTTTCATGTTTTCATGATGTTCTTGTCTGTCTGGTCTTGAACCCAGATGCATATTGTCTGGTGGAGACATTTCCTTTCTACAGTGTCGTGGTAGAGATATGTTTATACTAACATGAGAGCACCTCGAACATGAGACACAATTTACTGGAATTTATGTTGTGTTTTATTCTGGAGTAGTTCTCAAACTGAAGTGGCCATTACTTCTGTGGGACAGTGATTTTTGTCCCAGCAAGAGCTGCACGATCCTAGTCTTCCTTTGAAAGAAGAGCAGTAATACCATAGTCATCTTACACTGCACGCTTCTACTGTGAATTGGAACAGACTTGCTGCAGCACTGTAACATGCTGCCTATCATCCAGTCTATGGGTATTCAGATCATTTGAATAAGTTTTACAGCACTCAAGTTCAGATTCAAATCAAATTCAAATAATAACCTTTGTATGTTATTACTGTTCTTTCTTATATACTGTACTGATAAACTTGATTATTGAGTCTTGTGCCACTGGCCATATACGACTCGGCATTCTGTGCTTGTATTATGGTATGGATCAACAAATCTTTTTCTGCTTATTTGCTACTTTCCCTGTTGGTTAATCACACAGAGAGTGAACAAAGCATATTTTAATGAGTTTTATTTAGCCCATTCATTTATTTTTCTGACAACCTTTTAACTTTTCCCCCCTACAAACACATTTCTGTATTTTCTTTTTACATTTTCAAAACAGGCTTATTACTTTAGTTTTAATTTGAGGGGGATTATCATTTAGAAGTAAAAGACGAGAGGTAGACTCGAAAGTTAGTTTCAGTTGCACAGAAACATCCCGTAGAAATGTCCTTCAGAGCCTGTACTTTTTCACTTTTAAAGAAGCTGAATCAGTACTTCTACTTTCACTAGAGTCCCTTTTAAAAGTAGTATCTGTAAAGAATGTGTGTGACACCTCTGCCTGTGTGTGATTATGTGTTTCAGTTTTCTGCTGGTGTTCAGCTGCTTGGTGTTGTCCGTGTTCTCCACCATCCCTGACCACCAGAAGTTCGCCAACCAAGGCCTCTTCATCCTGGTAAGACCCCCTCACACACGTATGACTACTTCAGCATCCATTTTCATATGCTGTCTGTTATTATATACCATCTCACTTACTGTACGCGTTGCTTTGTTTGCCGGTGGAGGCGCAGACAGCTATGTAAGCAGGTGGGAGGATTCAGGTGTTGTTGACTGTGCAGGAAATCACAGACATGATCCACTAAGCCTAATAGCTATCCCATAATCTCCCCTCTTCCTATGTGCTCCAACTGCTTTAGTGAAAGGTAATGGACACACGCTTTCTCCTTCTGATCCTGACTCGTCCTCTCTCCACCTCCTCCTCCCCACTCTCTTCCCACCTTGCTCATCTTTACGTGTTCACTCTTTCGATCAATCACCCGGCCATTAGCAGGCAATCAGCCATTAGTGAACTTTACTTACACGAACATTTGCTCTAATGACAGATTGGTTCATTGCACCTTAAACTGCCCGTACAGTCTAGAAACCTGAAAGCAAGACAGACAAAGAGGATGGACTGACAGAGTGGCGTGTTAATAGGCTGAGACTGATATGGTATTTCAAATTGAATAAAGAATAGAAAGCAAATACATTTAACAGTTCTTGTTTTGTTTCAGCCTTTATTTTACCAGCTAAGCCAATTTATATGATGTTAATACAAAGGTTTATTAAATAGAGCAATAAAGTATATAAATCATGTAAATAATATGCAGTTACAGTGTTTCTGCAGTGTGGGAAGGTGAATTGATTTCCAAACTTCATTCAACACTGATGCTAAGCTGATATAGAATGAGAACAATTTAGATTAATCTTTTAAATTAAGTCTTGTAACTTGTAAATAGATAACCATAAACACCAATATGATGCTTTCAATAAAACCAGTAACTTAGATGTTTTGTTTTGGGGACACTTCTCCTTTGGAACTGAAACGGCTGAATTGAATGGTTTAAAGGAAAAACTATAAAATGCCAGACTGTCCCACTCAACTGTTTTATTAAAAAAATACATACATAGCAAAAAATTTCATTTTGTTTGGATAATCTTTCAAACACTGACTGGTGTGTGTCACTGACCTGTGTGTATTTGTGTGTGTGTGTGTGTGTGTGTGAGTGTAGGAGTTTGTGATGATTGTGGTGTTTGGGTTGGAGTACTTTATCAGGATCTGGGCGGCTGGCTGTTGCTGCAGATACCGTGGATGGCAGGGACGGCTGAGATTTGCCAGGAAGCCCTTTTGTGTCATAGGTTAGTGTGAGTGTGCGAACAGTACGCAAACACACGTCAAAGCGTTGTGTGTGCTCATGAGAAAACTGTGTAATCTTATCACTTCATAATGACTCTTCTCTCTATGTTTCGTTCCTGAATGTCTTCTCCGTAGACTTCATAGTATTTGTGGCGTCATTGGCAGTGATAGCAGCAGGAACACAGGGCAACATCTTTGCCACATCAGCCTTGCGCAGCATGCGCTTTCTGCAGATCTTGCGTATGGTGCGAATGGACAGACGGGGAGGCACCTGGAAACTACTGGGCTCAGTGGTTTACGCTCACAGCAAGGTAAGAATAGTCTTTTTACACACGCTCTACTACAAAAACACACTCAGTTTTTTATTTGAGAATGGGCTACATTTATAGGTTTGTTGTGCAGACATTGATAATTAAAAGTATACTAATGCATGCCATGCACACAGTATTATGGATTATTATAAGAGCAGGAAGAAGGTTGAGGGCTGGGGAGAGTTATTAAAAGGCTAGGGATGATGGTTACTAATGGGATAAATAACATAATAACTCTGTGTTGAGGAATATGTGGCGAGTCTACTGATGACCAGCTGTTTCTTGATTACATTCACTGTCCTGAAACATCAAACTCCCCTTTAGCTGCTCATTTCTGGCAATTAGGTGTTAGTTTTTGTGCTGACCTAAACACCTGACACCCACCGGTCGGCTGCACAACACAGTTAGACATTGAGGATGAACTGATGCATCAGCTGTCTTAGCATAACCGTGCAGCCAAGTCAAAGTAGAAGCCAAATGTGATGATGATGATGATGATG